CTCCAGATTTTATGATTATAAATCTCACTATACAGTGCGTGCTATGTTCGCATACCGATCTTTCTTCTACGAACTTGCCTCATCGCTCTTTTCAAGTGGCGCCTTCGAAGTGCTCGGACCGTCGCGAGCACGCCTCTCACGTTCTCGTCAAAACCCGCTGACATTTCTTGTATATATCTTAGTAATTTTACTATATTTTGATTTGATTTCTTGTGCCATTTCAAGAGAAAACTTCAGGGAAACATGCGTGTCTGAAAAAGTTGCGCTGAAATAACTGAATTCCCCGTAATCGCTAATAAACTTGAAAATCCCATGAGAGGAGACAGCGGAGTGCAAAGGGTTAATAGGAAAAACTCCTTGAATGCTGCTAACAGGACATAGTAATTGGCTTCTATAGCCTAGTCATTATTTATTGTCGTTAAACACAGCCAGCGAAAAAGGGCGTCCGTTTGTACCCCTCCGAGGCGTTACCGGAGAATTGAAGAACCCTTGCAATCTTAACTGCTGTCGCTTTATGAAGTTTAAGCAAATTGACAGTTTTATAGAGTCCGGAAACGTTGACGTTAAATAATGCTGGGTCTCCTTTGTGTGCAGCGGCGATGTGAATGAAGGAAAGCGACGTTTTAAATTCCTTGCGTAGTTTTTCCATCGTTCTACCCGCGATACAGGAAAAGCATTTTTCTCGAGCGGACAGATTTTCCTTTGTTCGTACTTCGTGTTTTACAAAGGAGATACGTCGTGTATATAATAACGCGGGTGCTGATATTGCAGCGTATTGAATCGTTTACGAACGAAATTCTCCTTGTCTACGTTTCATCGGCGAGTGTGTTGTTTGTCTCAGCTATATTTCGTTGTTAATCGTTCATTGAATGAAATTCTACGTTTATCGGCGGTCTGCGTTTATCTGGGAAATTAGTCCGGCGACGGCGTAAAATGAACTCCAAGTGATCGAGTACATAGAGAAGCTTTCCAATCGAAGATTTTTGCGGTATCGAGAAAGGTTCGTTTTTTCTGTACCAGTTTTATCGAGATGCGCTGGTATAGTAGAATGTTGCGGAACATGTTCGTTTGTTAAAATTATTCGGTACAGTTGTTAATTAGACCGCGGACTCGTATGCGTTTGTAACAAAATTGCGTAGCAAATTGTGAATGCAAAACGTCGAAACGTTTAACCCTTTCGCTGAAAGTGAAAATACCGATACTGAAAGCGTTTGCCGTGCACGACAAACAGTAACGTGCTCAAGATCACAACAATCTGAATATATTTGGACTACGGAAAACTTGGAACCAGAAATATTGGGTTGGCAACTAAGTAATTACCGATTTCAGTTATAGACGTCTCTCACTCCCATTTTTATGATATCCGTAAATGTTATATTATAAAATTATATTATTATTATTATGTTATTTTTTATTATCCGCGAATGTTAGCAACTGGACAAATTGAATGCAGCGGTCAAGGAAAAGCGACCAGAATCGGTCGATCGTAAAGGTGTCATTTTCCAGCAGGACAATGCTAGGCCGCACGCGTCTTTATTCACTCGGAAAAAATTGATGGACATTGGTTGGGAATCGATGTTACACCCACCGTATAGCCCTGATCTCGCGCCATCGGATTACCACTTATTTCGATCCCTGGACAACTCCCTTCGTGGTAAAACTTTGAACGACGATGACGCTGTAAAATCTCTCTTAACTCAGTTTTTGGCCGAAAAGGATCAGACTTTCTGCGAGCGTGGAATTTTCAAGTTGTCGGAGAGATGGCAAAAGGTCGTCGAACGAAATGGAAAATACATTACAGATTAAACTTCGTTCCAAGTGAAAAAAAATTTGTTATTTCATTGAACAAATCGGCAATTAGTTGCCAACCCAATACATTCCGTACTTCAGTGCCAACTACTCAATAATACGCTCCGTTCACAGCGATCACATTTTGACGCAAGCGCTCCGTAGCGAAAGGGTTTTATTGCCTCCAACTTGCTAAAATTATTGGGAAATTGGGAATTAAATGTTTATGTAACTCCTGTATCTTGCAAACAATATAGAGAATTTTTATTTTTATAAAAATCCACGATGCCTAAATAAATCCAATCGTGTTATTCGTATAAATCAATACACGTCGCTTACCTTGAAAGCATGGTAAGTTCAAAATCATCCAAGAATTGTAAATATAAGGAACAATACAAATTGATTCAGGCACATTGGTATGAATATCTGAATAATTGACACAGCTTACGACTTAATGAAGAATTCCATTGGAAAACTTGTTTAAATTAATTCAAGCATGCATTGTATAACTAGGAACTTTATGCATTTATTAAGCTATTAACATTTCTATCGTCTCTTTAGAATCTTTATGTCGATGAAAGAAATTTTTGTCTAATTCTGATATTTATAAAATACGGCATAACAATGAGAATTTATTTAAAGTTCCGCAATCTAGTCGTAATAAGGTTTAGAAAAATATCCAAATACATCTCTAATCTCGTCGTTGTTGTTACAAATAGATTAGGTTGCAGAAGGATTGAAATCTCTAAGCGACTCCTGTCTTCTGTATTTATGGCATATACAGATTTCCAAAATGCAGGGAAACGTTGTAAATTACTGCGAAGTTTCAGTTCAATCAGCACCGAAGGGGTCGAACTCGGGGCTAACGGCAGCTGTTCATCGGGCATAATGCAGCATTCGCTCCACGTGTCTGACACCGCATAAGGGCAACGAGTTAATAATAATTATATTGATAAGCTCGACTGGCTGGGACCGCGCCGCGTTTCAGTTGATTGGCGCCGAGTTAACGCGATCACGGAGCCAATTATCGGTCGACAGTGTACCCAACGGAAATCCAGTGAAAGTGTATACCGCCGGAGAAGTTGCAGGAAGCGTGCTCCGATGCTCCGTCGCGAAGTCGGTGTTGATGTTTGAAAGCAAGTAGCACACGGGCACCATCGTCAGCTCTATTGATCTTTCGGTACCACAAAGCTCCCCGTTCTACGTGCCCGTGCATTACACCCGCCTAACGTCACGGCTGCGTTCGCGTTCGCGTTCGCGCTCAACGAGACGAGAGCAGAAATTCGCGCGAATAACACGTCTATCTGTCTAACCGTCTATCTACCGGTCGCGCGGAATTCGAGATGCTCGATACACGATCGAAAATGTTGCTTACATTTGAAGTAAACGGCCAGCCCCCCGGCGATAATCAGAAGCGCCAGGACGTTGAAGAACACCTGCACGAACCTGAACCGCAGCCTTCCTGCGGTCGTATAGTGGCTGCTGGTCATGTCCCTGATGATCTGGAACGCATTTTGAAAATTATAAATCTCTGGAAGACCGGACGCTTGCATTTTGTATGTATAATCATTGAAATCAGACATTTCTGATTTGTGCAATTATCTTTTTTTCTCAGAGACCAGGCTTTTATTGTCTGTTTATCATTTATTTGTCCGAACTGTGATTCTGACGAGTCGTTTGACGATATCTCATTTTCTTCGTTTGAAAGGTTATTTCCTTTCCATTAGGTTTAAGTAAAGTTGTTTCTAAATTCTCACAGCATTAGATTTATTATTTTCATTTTACTACATTCATGTTTGTGCCAAAAATAGTATATTTCTTCTTTCATAAATTTGTATATACATGCTGTCTCGCAATCCGAAAGTGGCGGCTTCCTCGGGTCATTCGAAGCAACTTTTTCCTTTACAAAAATTTTCTCCGAGGCACCGTTAACGAGTTATTAACGAAAAACAGTGACCAATGAGAGGCGAGCTCGGCTGGCGCGAGGCGACCGAGCCAATGAGCGGAACTGGGCTTCGCGCGCTGGTTGGCTGGGGCGCCTCGCGTCAGCCGTACTCGATTCTTATTGGTCACTGTTTTTCGTTAATAACTCGTTAACGGTGCCTCGGAGAACATTTTTGTAAAGGAAGAGGCTGCACCAAATGATCCGAGGAACCCGCCATTTCCGGATTACGAGACATTTTCGGGACACTCTGTATATATATAATAAATAAACTTTATTAATAAAATTGTGTTTTATTTTATCAGAGAATGAAATACCTCATTGGAAAGTAATATTTATTTCTTAGTAACAACTTGCCCCACGATGGGGTAAGAAGTTCCGCTTGAGTCCACCGCAAAAAAACGAGTCTCCATGAAAAACTTGTTGCAATATATTAAATTTGCGTTAACAATCGTAAAATAAAATAAATTTAACAATACATTAGTCAGGGAATGCGGTACCAACATTTTTTAACCGGGAAAACGCGAACTTCGACTTCATTTAATTCACAAAACACGAATCGACGGTGCAACAGGATGAAACAAGCAAGACCTAGCAATCAACTAGTAATTATATTGCGATTGTAGCCAACCGGGGAACCAGAACCTGAACCAGAACCGTCAGCAGTAGATGTTGTAATTGCTTGGGAGCGATGGGTACAATCGGAGCAAATATCGTTAGCCGACGATGACCGCGTGTTCTACTTCGCAAGAGACGTTCTCTGTTTGACCAGTCAACGCACCCTCGTTACATGTTGGCACGCACTGCACGACCCCGACCCTACGTCATCTCGTCCATATCGATTATAATTTCCTCGCGGTGGGTATCGCTCTGTCAAAGGACAAATTATGTCGCTGACAACCTGTTTCGCCACTGATATAGAGACCGGCAATCGCGACCCACGGGAAAATATTTCGTCGTTACGGTGGAACTGCATTTTTCCGAAATATTGAATTCCGCCGATTTTATTTTTCTCTTTGAGCTACTAACTCGATCGCGTTTGCACTGTTTTGCAAACAACGTGGAAAAATACGCGGAAAAATACATGGAAAAAATACGTTGAAAGACTGAAGCCCGGAATTGTGTTTTTTTTGCAGTTTACTATATAGTCGAATTATTCAGAGTTATCGGTTCGGAACAATGATCCGGATCTTGGTGCTTTTCAAATTGGTCTGGCAATTATCCATTCCAGTTTGAGCAGCATTTTTGTCGATCCGCTAAACAAATGCACGGATAATTCTGTTTCCCTGCTGCACGTTCGATTATTACTCGAACGAAGTACAAATTGAGGAACATATGAGCCGTTACTTTTTTTTTTCTCAAAATGAAAAGATACCGTTCAATTGCAATCGGTGTTACCATTAGCTCGATTTTTTTGAAAAAGTGACTTATGCCACTGTCGAAATAAACGGCTCATATATTACAAATTATGAATTGTTTAATCGTCAGAAAACGAACGTATGATAAAAACCCGCGAAATTGTGGCATATCGAACAGCCGCACGTCGACGCGGAACGTCCCGAAACTCGCTCGACGAACCAAAAGAATAAAATGCAAATCGAACTCGTCGAATTTTTAACAATCGCATTAAAAGAAGGAGCGCGGTCGGCAGTGCGAGAGGAAACGGGCGAAACAGGAGGCGCATTGTAAAATCGCGAATCGATAATTCGCGTCGTTCGGCGTCCTTTCCGAGTAACGGCCGCGATATCGCGACAACGGGAGCCTGTGTCGAGGACCGATATCATTTCAGAACGTACGTTCTCCGCTGTTATTAACGCTAAAAATAGAACCGCGATAATACAGAACTGCGCGGCCGGACGTAACGGTTATATCCCCTGGTCCGCTTAATTGCATTGCTTCCCTACGTTCCGCCGATTGGCCGGCTTCATCGGTTACAACTTTTCTACGTGATCGAGCTAATATCGCATACCCCCAGCCCCCATAAACGACGGAAACGCGGTATATTATATACGAAAAGCCCGTCGCGAACCCGTTCGCGAATCTCCGCAATTTTCAGCGTGTCCGACCAGCGCAGAATTATTCTACTTGCGGGCCGCGCGTGGCTTCGTCGGTCATGGAAGCTTTGAAAATGATTTTGTTACGGTGTCCGGGCCGTCGACCATCGCTCGGCTGCGGCTTTCATCCACGCCCCTGTGCTCCTCCATTCGATCAAATTGATATCGACAATGAGCCTCGTGCCGGTTTATACGTTATCGAAGCTTATCAATAAATTATACGCGCGCGGTTTACGGCGCTGGACGGTTGTAAAATTGTATGCGATTTTTACGACAGAATTATTCGACCAGGCGGTGTCGGTTCTCTCGGATTCTTTGCTTCAGGGGAGTGCATACGATAAGATCTTTTCTTTAAAAATATTTTCGAAATTTTTCTTCGGTTTACCGTTGCAATTTTTCTTGGGTGCACTGTTGCAATTTTTGTTGGGTGCACCGTGGCAATTTTTGTAGGACGCTACAAATATTTTATTTCCAACAAACCAAAGAACTGTATAATTTTACACGTTTATAAATCTTCTTCGAAACGGTGAGTTCTATTTCCTCAACAAACAACTGCAGCGAGAGAATAAAAAGGCTTGTACCTAAAAGAAGTCGAAGTTGTTGCAATTATTTGTATAATATCTGTGGCAGAAAATATTATATAATATATTATTATATATATTATTTTATTATTATTATTATATATATATATATTATATATTACATTATATATTATTATATAATATTGCGAAATCGCAAGCATCCCTGAAAAATGTGTTTCCCTTAAAACAAAATTCAGCCTCGACATCCCGAGTGTCCTTTGAGACGGTGGTTCCCGTTCCATCGGGCCACCGATTTAATTATTCCGCGAGGCAAAACCAATCGGTCCGCCGTGCCGCGAAGGCTTCTGTGCTCCGGTTGAAAGCAAAAACGAAGTCCGCCACGCGATTCCGTTCGAGTAGAATTCTCGTTTCGGCTGGCTGTGCTGTGTGTCAACAAGATCTCTCGGGCAGCCCTTGTTGGCCTTCGGAATCGTTCCCGCTCGGCCGAGCACGCGAGCCTTGCGGACCCGAGCTTGATCCCCGTTTCTCGCGGGTGCACGTGTCCCCGGCGTGGCACGAGGAGAGTGTTACGTAACAAAGCGAGGAGAAAGGAAACCGGGGAGAATCGATAGGCGGGCGAACGGGAAGAATTAATCGCGATCGTTCACGCTCCTTCGCGTGCGCCGTGCAAGCTCGGTTCAACACTTGCAGTTGTTCGGGCTCACCTTGTGATGCAGCGAGCTATTGTTGCCGCCGTGGACCCTCACGATTGCTTGCAGGCTGGCTGGGGTGCTGGTCGACTTGGTTATGGTTCTGCCGGATGTCTCTGGCTCCGACACCAACGCCCTGTCTGATCATACCAATAAAAAGCTTCATTCATGTATAATCCTAACTCAAGATATCAACTTCTAATGTAGAATAAAATCGTTTCAGATTTTTAGTTATTGTGATATTTTCATAGGATATCACAGATCAGTTCTGACGTTGAAGGATTCATCCAACTATTTAGCTTCTAATGGTTCATTTAAATTGGATGCTGCAAGATCTACGAATCCAGACGAAATTTCTTGAAAAATATATTATTAGATTGGTGCATATTAAATGTCGGATTTTCTTTACACGCGAACGTTTGACTCCCTGTTTTTGTTATATTTTTGTTTTTGGCATAACCTCGTTTATAGACGTACCGTCAATAGCCAGAGTCGCATTTCAACAAAGAAGATTTTCTCGAAAGAGTTCCAGTTTGTTATTTATTTTGAATTTCATAAGGAGATAGGAATGAATAGGAATTAAACCGATATTCGTGTCATTTTTTTATACGAGTATAAACTTGGTAATAATCCTGCAAAAGCTGCGCGCGATATAAACCCGGCGTTTGGGGAGAATCTGTTAACGTTAACGATCGTAAAGTGCAGCATTAATATGAAAATTCTCGGTCTCGTGATTTTTCCCTGCAAAATGAACCGCGTAGAAGACCCAGAACGTCTGTGAAAAATGATGCTCTGAAAGCATTGGTGGAAACGAATGCGACCGGAGTAATTCGCTGCTCGTTCCTTCGAACTGGGGAGACAATTACGGCCGAAAAGTACTTCCAGTATATTGATGAAACGCATGAAAAATTGGTAATTATATGCCCATCGCTTGTTAATCGGCGTGGCCCAATATTTCTCCATGACAACAATTGCGAAATTAAATGAATTAAAATATGCAATTTTGTAGCACCCAGCTTATTCGCCGGATCTTTAGCCAACCGACGATGAAAATTTGAACCAAAAAATGAAATCTGTTTTAAACATTTGCAACAATTTTTACGGGCTGAA